GGGCAGCGAGCCCGGCTGTGGCCCCGCTCTCCCCGGCGGCCGGAGCGCCGCGCCGCCCCCCTCCAGGTGCCGCCCCAAGCACCAGCTTGGGTGCCTGGTGCCTGGAGCCGGCCCTGCGCAAGGCCCGATCTCCGTGAGTCGGCGGGAAAAACTCCATCAGCACCAGTGGCAGCGGAATGGGCCCTGAGGATGCACGTGCCGAGCCAGCTAGCGTGCGTGCCCCACTGCCCTGCAAAGCATCAGTTCTCTCCAGTGGGTGACGACGTGTAGGCTGCGACGTTGGCTCACCAGTTAGGGGGTGTGGTTTAGCGGCTTGTCGTCCAGATGGGCCAGATGTTCTAATGTGGGCCGCCCCGTCCCGTCTCTTGCCCCCGTGAGTCGGATCCCGTTGCTGGATATGCCGTTGTCTCACGATCCTGGCAGCTCTCTCATGCGCATTCTCTCTTTCTGACCCAACAGGCTCTTCGGCTTTGTGGCCAGGAAGCAGGGAAGCACAACGGACAACATTTGTCACCTCTTCGCCGAGCAGGATCCTGACCAGCCGGCCGCCGCCATCGTCAATTTCGTGTCAAGGGTCATGCTTGGCTCCGGCCAGAAGAGATGAACCGCTGGACACGGGTAGTTCTTGCCCTTGAATTTTGGAGAAGGACTTGGAGTTGATCCGAGAAGGAGCGCGAGGAAGTGCATTGTGGGAGAGGGAAGTGAATCGGGGGGAAACGGTCTGAATTGTGGAAGAAAAAAACCCTCACCCAATCGTAACGTAACAAAACAAAACTAAAGGAAGCGATGTCAGCACATTTCCCGTCGCAGGGAATGCGACCAGCGCCACGGCCAGGAGTCGGAGGAGTGGAACCGGGTTGGCTTTTGGATCAGCGTCCCCACGGGGGGGTTCAAGTGGTGAATTCATCCCGGGTCATAGTGGGAACGTTCGCGGCTCTGCCGTTTGAAAACCAACAACTCTGTTTGCAAATGTCAGTCGTTTGTTTTAAACATCCGTGGCTAACCGATCGAACAAAAGGCAGGTCTCCAGGACCCCCCCGCTCCCCTCCTCAGGGACTTACCCATTGGGACAGCTTACCAAGGGCAGTGGTGGGCTTTCTCCATCACTGGCAATTTTTAAATCAAGATGAGATGTTTTGCTAAGAGATCTGCTCTAGTTCGAAGAGGAATGAATTCAAGCAGATCTCTGGCCCGTGTTACACAGGAGGTCAGACTGGAGCTCAGTGGTCCATTCTGGCCTTATGACCTATGTGCTAGAGCAGTGGTTTTCTACCAGTGCTCCGCAGACCCCGGGGGGTGGGTGGGGGTCGGCAGACTATGTCTAAGATTTCCAAAGGGGTCCACACCTCCATTTGAAATTTTTTAGGGGTCCGCAAATGAAAACCGGTTGAAAACCACTGTGCTGGAGTGATCAGGCAAGAAAACAAAGGATGGTCAATATCCCTTTTAACCTTCCCTTCTCTGAGGTCTGCAACTCCTGTGTAGATGACGTGTGTGTGGGGATGTGTCATACATGTACATTCACAGCAGCGGGGTTTATATAAAGCCTATGGCCCCTAGCGACTCCCTTTGGTCTCTGTGCTGCACACCACAGCCCATCAGGATTTCCTGGCAGCAGAAGGGAGAGAATTCAGATCCTCCTGCTCCAAAAAGCACAGGACCTTGGCCGCTTGAGCGAAAGGGGACGCGCTGGTTAGCGGTATGGGATCTATGACACATAGGTGCGCAGTTCTGATTCCATCCAGTACAGGGCGGTGGTGACGCATACACACTAGGCAGTTCTTATATACGCACAGAGTTGCGTAGCAGTTTGCCCTTCACTAACTGCACTCAGGAGCATGCTTTCCAAAGATCATCTTCACCAGAAAGATCTTCTGGCCTATATACAATGGGGCCTGCAGTACCAGTCCTTTCCCCTGTATTTTCACCCGCAGACTGTCCCGTGTTCTCTTAAAGACGAACATACCGGAAGCGGACACAGGTCTGGTCGAGCCTGGTCTCTTCTCCTTCTGTAGGCGTCCAAGCGATTTGTTCATCGCACGGACATTTGGTTGCACGAAAGGCAAATAAGTATAAAGAAAACTCAGGCATTTTTGGAGGCCACTAAAAGAAAAGACCCTGCAGTCTGGTGGTGGCTTTGGCTCCGCCTGATTCTCTCAGCTGATCCAAAAGCCGAGAGATCTCATGGCCGGATTTGGTCCTCAGATGCTCGGCCCTGCGGAGGCTTGGAGCTCTGAATGTGTTGTAGTTTAATAACCACCTAGTAGGCGTAAGCTTTGCTTTGGCTTCAGGAGGCCATAGGCCCTAGACCTTGCACTGAAATGCTAACTCACAAGAGCTATCGACTAGCCTTGCAAATGTGGCTAGATTAGGCAAAGTTCCCAGCCTTGCAAATCCCTCCATGATCTCCTGTCTGCCTGGGCCTTTCCATAGGGAACAAAATGGTGCGGTAAAAAACATGCATTACCCACAGATACAGGGCTCTTGGCCTCTCATTGACTCCACACTGGGCCCCATGGGGCGATCTGTCGTTAATATCTGACTCCGTGTAGCTCGGGTGAGATAGGAGCCACCAGAGGAAAGTCCAGGCAGTTAAGAGATGTTTTGCCTTCTCCCTGGGGAATGGTTGTGTAGTTGGCCAGGTAAAATGATGCAGGTTTTACACCTTCCTCTGACAGAGCTGATATTGGCCAGTCCCGGGAGGCAGGATAGCAGATTGGATGGGCCAACGCGTTCTTCCCATGTGCTAAATCTTATGGGTGTATTTTTCTTTTTTTAATGCTTAGTTCAAGCTAGAGCTGAGACCCAAGCTATGAACAGCCCCCCCCCCCCAAGCCCAGACACTCCCCAGCTCTGGGGGCGTTCCAAACCCAGATCTCCATGGGGCTACAGCTTGCGCCCAGCTCTGGGGAACCCTACACATTTGCATTGACAACCAATCTCCCAAGCGTCTTTCTGGGGCTTTTAGACTCATAGACTCATAGACTTTAAGGTCAGAAGGGACCAATATGGTCATCTAGTCTGACCCCCTGCATGATGCAGGCCACAAAAGCTGACCCCCCCACTTTCCCTTAACTCTGCTGTTGAAGTCTCCAGATCGTGATCTAAAGACTTCAAGTCGCAGAGAATCTTCCAGCTTGCGACCCCATGCAGTAACCAGTTTGAATTGCTCAGCTGTGGTCAGAGGTGTTAGGGGCTGGGGGAAGCAGGAGAGATGGGCCTTTCCTGTTTGTGCTACATTTCAGTGCAAGGTTATGTGATACAGGCTGTTAATAAAACCAAAAACCACCCAAGATCTATAAACCAGCTAAAATATTGCAATCACCTGGATTCCCCCGGAGCACTCTGCTCTCTCATACAGAGGCAGTGTCCTGATATATATAATATATATATGAAATATACTGAAAAATACTGTAAGCTAATCAAATTTTTAAAAAGGGTTAAATTTACACAAAAATATTTATTTTTTGCCATATTGCTTTATGTGTATCTTATCTCCTCCATTATATACGGCCCCCACCCCGTCCCCATATAGACTCTTGTACGTATAACTCACAGTAGAGTGTAACAGACAAACGTGGTTTATTTCGGTTATACTAGTGACATGGGCAAGAGAGCGCAGTGCCCCTTTAGACCCCGCCCCCCCAAGGAGCAACGCGTATGATTGGTCCCCCACCTCTAACCCCCACCCCCTTTCCCTGTTGAACATGGAAATTGGCTAGCGCCTGGAGCAAATTAGCGTGTGCGTTTGAAACCGTTGCCAAGTGACACGAGGGTTGGCGGCGTGCGCGGATGTGTGTGAGTGAGTGTGTGTGAGGGCCACAGCTGCGTGAGCCTGCGGAGGGCTCTTTCGTTTCTGGATACCGGATGAGGGTTAGATTTGCGTCCGGGAGGTGTTGGGAGACTGGTACTGGGATGGGGTGGGAGTGGTCAGGGCCCTTGGTTCCAGCCCACCCCGTTGTATAGGACGTTGAGCTATTTTTATTTTAAGTTGTGAAAAAGAAATGCCCTCCTTCTGCAAAATTCAAGCAAGAGGAACCCCTCCCTTGTAACCTTCTCACCCTGCCATTAACCGATTAGACGAACACTGTGTTTATAGATATTTAAATATATAAAGGTATATTTTTTGAAAGTCTCTATTTTTCAGACTTCAGTTTTCTCACAGCTAAAGCAAATTTTATTATTTTTGTTTTAATCTGCTGTCCTGCCCCGGGAATTGGGGCCTGAGCCTTAAAGGCATATTTCCCCCCCATAAAATGAACCCATGTGAAGGCATCGAGCAGTCTCGTCTATAAAACGATCACAGCAGATACCCGATAATGACAGAACACTTGCTTCCAGCTGTGGCCGGCAACGGCTCACTACTAAGGGTATGTCTACACTACGGGATTAATCCGAATTTAGATAATTCGAATTTGGGAAACAGGTTGTATAAATTCGATTGTGCGCGGCCACACTAAGCACATTAATTCGGTTTTTAACCACATTAATTCGGTGGTGTGCGGCCACACTACCCCATTAATTTAACCACATTAATTCGGTGGTGTGCGGCCACACTAACCCTAATTCGAATTAACAAAATCGATTTTGGCGCTGCTCCGCTCGTCGAGGTGGAGTACAGAAATCGATTTTAAGTGCCCTTTAATTCGAATTAACTGGCTCTGTAGTGTGGACGGGTGAAGGGTTAATTCGGATTAACGCAGCTAAATCCGAATTAAAGTCGTAGTGTAGACCAGGCCTAACTCACGAGCTGAAAGACGGAAGGTTTAGACCTTGTCAGATGCTCTAACGCTAAAATCACCGTTGATTATAATTTTAACACAAAGCTAATCATCTTGCAAATGACATAGGCAGGTGTTTTCCAGCTTCCATTTAAGACCTTTTTTTAAAAAAAACAGTTGCATTTTATGGGTAACTTCTTTCTGTCATCCCTGATTTCCCGAGCCAGACCATCAGCTTGTGTAAATCAGAGTAGTTCCACTGATCTCTGTGAAGCTACTAAGCCGGGCAAAAACCTGGCTTCACCGGCCAAGGTTTATATTTTTCTTTCCTAAAGGGTCTGAGAAGATTCTTTGTGTTTTAAAAATGCAGTCACAGTATTTGAGCTTGATGCTGATGCAATTTATCCCAGCGGATGTATTCTAATAATCACACTGCCGTTTTTTTCAGCAGCGGATGTTATATCTCCCACACACACGCAGACACTCACACCTACTCCATGCACAAGGAACTGCATATATTCTTGCCAAAGATATCCTTTAAAATGCACTTTTCCCAGCCGGTTTTGTTTTGTAAATTGATTGTATGTGCTCTTTCCCCCTCCCTGCCAAGAACCCCTTTGCTGTCGATTTTGTTGTGTGTATTAGTAAACTCTGATTCCCGGAGCGCCCGGCTGATGTTCATTTTATGTAACTCTATATTCCAGTAGAGTCGGAGATTCTTAAAATAGTTGACACAAGAGATCCTGATTTCTTTAGCCACAGACTGAGTGATGACAGCAACAGGTCAGTCAATTCTCGTCACCCCTCTCCTGGCCTTCCCTTCTCAAACCCCTTCGTAAAAGAACCCCGGAGACCAAGCAACATGCTGTAGTTGCTTGTGTCTGGTGGCATTTCAAACAAACTGCTATTTATGTCTCCTCCATATCTTACTGCTCAAGAAACTCCCTCCCCACCTCCCCCAGAAAGGGAAATTGGAATGTCTTTGGGCTTCTGATCCAAAAGCTGTTAAAGTCAACGGGTGTCTTCCCATTGACTTACGAGCTTTGACTCAGAATCTTAAATCTACAAACATCCACTAGGCACATTGTCATCCTTCAGTCCGAACGTCCTTTCATGGGATCGGATCCAAATTGTGCCTGGCTCCCTATTTACCAACTGGCTAACCAACAACGCCCCAAACTTCAGACAATTTTGGCTCTACATCCAGGGTGTGTCATTGGCCATCATCGCATTGATCAGTACACTGGCGTTGAATAACCCAGAATCAAAACACTGGCTCTAGGCTTTGGGATCTCTCCTGGAGCTCTTGTGAAGTTTGATATAAAAACAGAATCGGTTTAAGACCGCGTCCATTCCTGGAACTGAACCGGTTCTGAGTTTCAATAAACGCAGAACCTTCCCCACTGCATCCATGCCCTCTTCTCCCGTTTCCATGTGGCCCTCTTTCCTAGCTGTGGCTGGGATTGGAGCTGCTGGCAGAAAAGCTCTTCTCACTGCAGAACCCAGCACGTTCTTGTGAGGTTCCCGAGTCCAGTTTTTCA